TATATAATATTAATATAGTATTAATATTAATTGATATTAATATAAAATTAATTATATTAATAGGTATTAATATATTAAAGATTGCAACGCTGAGAGACATCCCATTTAGTCGGCAACGAAGTATGATCCTCGATGACAATCATGAAAACGAGATAGAAGTTCAACGCGAAGACGCGACGACGCGAAAACGCGATACCGCGACAAAGCGACGCATTGTTGCTCGTACGGCACGATGACGGCAACGACGACGCACTAATGTGCGTTCAACGCACAAATGCGCGTGCCACATATGAGCCATTGTGCGACTCGTGGCAATGCTGTGATGACACGCGACGCGAAAGACGCGAAATCCATCCGCGGCACGATGACGGCACCGACGACGCGACAAGCCGTCCGCGGCACGATGACAGCAACGACGACGCTGGGTACTTGGTTTTCTTCTTCACAGGGAAAATCACATCTTGGTTTTCCGATTCGATTATTTTTTGCGCGTTCTCAATCCGAATAATATTTAAATCATCGAAAAGTCAAACGAAAAAGCATCAGATGAAAGATAATTGAACTTTAAGTATTTTTAAAAAAATAATTATTGCTTATAAATTGCAATAATTTACAATTTTGATTCCTCACTTCAATTCTTGATTATATGTGTATATATCGCGTGCGAAATATGCGCCTCGAGATTTATCGTTGCGATATAATTACATATTATTTAAGATATGTAAAAGATAACTAAATATTTATCTTATCAAATTATTTTCCGATACTTGTCGCGATCGCGTTTGGAAAAGGAATTTGACTAGCGTCTCGCACTGCTACTTTACTACTCGAGTGTAATCGTGTGAATGATAACACGTAGGAAAGGAATTTGACGCGGAGCGTCTCGCCTTATTATGGTTCTATTCAAATGTCTTCGTATATGAATGATAACAAAGTCCGTGATACATAAACAATAGCGCGCCAATGTTTACGCTGCCAAGGCCGGATATCATGTTAGATATTGTTAATTTGCTGCCGAAATATTTTACGTACTATAAAATATATATGTGAAATATTAAATTATATAAGTATTTTCAATTATAGATCAATTATTTATTAAACGATTAATATATCACGGAGCTTATCGTTATATTATTTGATTTTGCGATTCGATCGTTTTACAACACGTTCTTAATCCAAATTATATCTAGATCGTCGAAAAGTCGTGATATAGCATCGTGGACAAAATATATTTGACGCTATGTGTTGTTAAATAAATAATTATTGTCCGTAAAAATCGCAATGAAACGATAATTTATATATTTATAATTTGATTTCCTATTATTTTAATTCTTATTTGATTGAATGAATAAATTTCGAAATATGCGATCTGAGATTTATCGTCGCGATATATATATGTAGTTACATATTATTTATAAATGTTAAATAATTATTAATTATATTATAAAAGTAAATAATTTCCCGATACTGGTCCCAAACGCGTTTAGAGAAGAAATTACACGGAGCGTCTCGTCCGATTACTTTCCTGCTCGAGTGTCGCGCGAATAATAACAGAGTCGAGGTAAATGATAGCGCCAATGTTTACGCCGCCAAGGCCGAATACCATGTTATTGAGATAATTTGCTACCGAAATATTTTACGTACTATATACACAGAAAACATTAAATTTTATTAAGTATTTTAAATTAATTTTAAATATCCCACGATATATAAAAGAAATTCTTAATATTTTAACGCTCCAACCAATATTACAAGAGATATCGCCGTTTTTCGTATGGCATTTTGCGAAAACTTGACAATATATCACCGAGCTTATCGTTATGTTAATTACTCAGCTATTATCAGGCAATCATATGAACGTGAAATAATTAATTAACGCGGTTAATGACTAAAACTCTTTCAAATTCGAAAGAACACGGTTAAAATGATAGGAAAACATAATAATTATATATATAATAGAATAGACCTCCGCGTTTTGGAAATCACAATTTTTGATATGTGTCATATAAAGATATATTCAAGTATTGGAAAAAGTAGATTTTTTCGCATTTCCGTTTTTTTTTTTTTTTTTTTTTTTTTTTATTTAGAGTTCTGGGTAGTACTCCACAAAATATAAAAGAAACTTTTAACATTTTTAATAAACCAATATTGTAAGAGATATCGCGATTTTTCTATCATTTTTATCCATTATCATTTATAAAAACTAAATGGCGCATTTTATAATATTTTATATAACACACACACACACACACACACACACACGCACACATACTCTGTAATATTCTAATAATATGCCGTGAACGTGTTCTAGTTTTACAATTTTTTTGTAGAAGGGTACGAATATTCAAATCGCATTTTATTATGAAATTTGTCGATGTGTTTATCGAAAATTTTAATTTCACGTATCCTACTGCAATATTGTAGGACTTAAAAATTATTGATAAATCTATGTTTTATATATTTTTTTTATTTTTTTTTTAAAATTTAATCCCTTTTTTAAAATTATCGAATACTCTGTGTTTTATTCAAATGAGATATATTAACTGAAAATTTATTTTCCGTAAGAATCTGATGAATAGACAAATATACATGGAAAATACTGATTGAGAATGCAATAGCTTGAACGTGTCGATTTTGATCTAACGTAAGGTTGGCGAGGACGCCGAAGAATGACTATAATAACGTAACTCAGATACTAATTATATGCTATAAGCATTGCCATTATACGAGCATAAGTGCACCCACCTGGATTCCCGGACAATGTGACTGGACGTCGGAGAGAGAGACCTTTGTGGAGTTTGTCTTACTCAACTCGCGTAAGCAGCTAAAGCCTAAGCGAAGTGTCGCAATGCACAGCCGCAAACGAGCTAAATTATCGTTAACAGTAAAACTAAGCGACAGAAATATTCGCTAGCGGATAGAAGTTCGCGATCTAAAATTAATTCTCATTATCCTACACGGCCGTTGCCGTGTAATCGCCGAGGAAATTCACCGCCCCATAAAACGCGGAACATTTATATTCCCCGCGAAGTCTTCGAAGCCATGATGCGCTTGCGTCATCAGGGAGAAAAAGAAGACCGCAATGTTAATATAAACAGTTACTCTCCTCACGTCCTAGATTCGGCAAGTGCGAACTTGATTCTCTAGCGATTCTTTGTATAATTCTTTACTTTCTCTTTGAATATTACGCGAATTAACATAAGAGAGAATTCTATGAGTAATTTTCATGTTAATTTATAATTTAGATTAAATTTAATTTAGATGAAGAAAAGGCAATAATCTGGGGAGGAAAAGGAAAAATTTAATTATCATCAAATTATCATAAAAAAAAAAAAAATTGACAATTTCTAGGGGATTAATAAATTTAAAAATAGCATTACTAAATATCTGTATTAAAATACGATATGTAATTAGAAATATCTTTCTCTCTCTCTCACACAAAATTTCTTTATCGATATTTTTCATATATATTTATGTGTAATATCTTATTTATAGGATATATATATTATTTTTGTTTTTAACATGTATAATATTTTTATATACTTGTAATATATTTGTATTTATATGCGCTTTTGGAACTGCCTCGCTCGTTTGCAGTTAACGTAAATGCGGTCTATGTGATTGGCGAGAGCCTATTATGTCACAACTTCTAGTTGCAGTGGCAAGGTAGAGCCGGGCCATGAACCCAATAACAACACGTTGCACAGACGCACGTGACCGATTCTCTTCGCGGAGGTTTTCTCGCGCATTATTCTCGTCTTTCCTCCAACTTTTTAGTACTGTAAGCGGTATATAATAATACTCTCGCGCGATAATTCTTGCGATAAATCCGTCTTTCGATGCTTTTAAACATTCTTACTTTTATTTAACGTTTCTGTCAATAAATAATTGTCGAATCTTTACGTTTTTCTCAACAATAGAAAGAAATAATGCTATTATAATGTTTCAATAATTTTCACTTAATTATTATAGAGAGGAAGAACCAAGCGAGATATATTTTTATCGAAATTTTCATTGATAAGCTTTTTTACTGTTTTTATCTTCATTAATAATTTTAAAGGGTATATTTTTTTGCAATGATAAAATATTATTTCCGTGAGCTGAAATAGATCGACGCGAGTGTGTTGTATCGCTTATATCTTATTATTCGCGCGATAATAGCGTTCCTATCTATACACACATACATACATATATATAACGCGTGCGCAGAATGCGCGTATGCGAACACCGTTACATGCGACGTATAGACAATCTTATCTGAATATATGTATATTTACATATCATTGCGCGAGATTTCAGTCCTGTTTTTCCCTCTCAGTCCCAGCCGTGAAGTAATCTCTTGTTTCGATTTTATCTGCATTACGTAATCGCATTCCAGTTGCGCTTGTTGTTTCAATGAAATGTGTACCTCCACAGGCGTACAGGGGTCAATCTATAATTTCATTTCTCACAACGATTCCGTTCCGATTAATTCCGATTTGACAATCTCCATCTTATATGTATATCTGAAGCTATCATAATTTCTATGAAAAGAGAATTTTCTCGAGGAGAGAAGAAAAATGCTTTTATAATTAAAATAAAATATTAATTTTAAAATATTCATAGTTTTAATCTCGTCGTTAAATTCTATTACATATAATTGAAATCTAGCTTATGTTTAAATATGATGATTTTTTCATCGGATAATATAAGGTTTTTTTTATTATTCACATATTTTTACATTCTTCGTGGAAGGACCAATAAAAACAATTTATCGTTTATTACATTAAAATGCATAATTTTTTTATTAATTACTATTTGTTGTGCGTTGTGTACAAAAACAGATCCTTTTAAGCGCAACAAATATTAATTAATATTACAATAAATAATCATCATATTTTATCACAATTTTTGTCTATGCGTGCAAAAAATATTTCTTATAACGTACAACACAATAAATAATTATACATATATTATATTTGAATAATAGTAAGTAAAATATTTTTGACAGTTAATTTATGTAGTTAACATTTCATTTTACGACGTGATTGACGCATTTTTCCGCAGCAATGATCACGGGAATCTTTATTACTACTAAAAGACTCATATTCAGAATCATCGCTTGTGAACGAGGACGATTCATCTTCAGAATCCTCGCTTGAGGACGACTCATCTTCAGAATCCTCGCTTGAGAACGACGATGAATATCCTTAGAACATAAAATAAGAATTTATGCAAAGAACCAATGTAAAATTAGTATAAAACAATTAATTAATTAGTCTTGGAATAGTTGAAGTTTGTCTAGTTTAGTTTTAAAGAGTAAAATACACAAATAATCTAAAATTTCACGTGAAAATAGCATAATGATATAAAAAGTATAAACATAGTAAGAATATATCAAATAAAAATATAACATAGAATTAGTTTAAACATCGTATATTTTCGATTACGATAGTTAGAGTTATATAGATTTTCAACGTACTTTCAGAACATCCTGTCGTGCGCTTCCTTGAAACTTTCTTATTATTTTTCGCATTTCTCGTAAACTTTTTTGACACTTTCGAACTCCTTGAGGATCCTGCGCACTTCGTTACACGATTTCGATCGCGCGAATTGCAATTACAACTGTGAGAATTGAACAAGCTAGTCTTGGCTTCTGTAAAAACAGATTTATGTAAAAGAAAAATTCGTTAATACGGAAATAATGTGAGTATCCACATTTTTATTAATCCGATGCACAATACGAATTAGTAACGTACTTCCAGAAGATTTCGTTCCGCTTTTCTTCCTTTTTGCACACTTAAGTGATTCGCAAGTTGTCGCAGTTTTCGTAAATTTTCCTAGACATTTCGAGGACATTCTCTTGTCGCGTTTATTTTTCGAATATTTCTGTTTGTTCTTGCTGCTGTATCGTTTGCAGTTGCAGCGCGTATAATAACAATTGCAGTCGGAATCATCGGAAGAATCAGATAAGTAGATGTCTTTCAAAAGCTCTTTGTTTCCTAAAAGAAATGTGACAAATTAATATCGAGTTATATATCAAATAAGAGTTAATATACGATTATTATAATTAAAATTTAGATTGATATATTTAGATTTACAATATGAATTTTGTAACGCACTTTCGAGAACTTTTAGCGCTTCCTTCTTCGAATTCCTTTTGCTCTCGAGCTTTTTTAAATTTTTCGAAGACATTTTGAACGGATTCCTTCTTTTCGATAATTTTTTTCTACTTTTCATAAATCTAATTTCGTCTCTCTTTCTTTCTTTCTTGTTTCTAAACAATGAATAATCGCAGTCCGTGCAGCCCCCGTCCTCGCAACTGCAAGTAGTAAGAGATGCAGATGAGCTTAGTTCCGACGAGGATGTGATAGATTCCGACGAGCTCAATTCCGACGAGACGAGTGTCTTAGAGGATTTTCACCAATCACGATAATTTGGATGCGCTCCTGAATTATTTCCTGATGACATTACCCTGAAAAAAAAAAAATATATTCTCATGATGTATTGCAATTAAATGTCGGATAAATTTGATGAAGATTCGATCAACTTTCTATGCTACGTATAAAATATCACAAATGATTCCAACTTCTTTATATTGCTTATTATGTGTTGTCTCATCGAAGAGTTGCATAAATTGATAAAATGTGAAGTTGATTATTATTATTTGTCGACTGGATAACACGTTTGTTACTTGATATTTTTTTCATAAATCGAGATGAATTTTAATTTATTAATTTAACACAAATTTTATAGTTCGTCTGCGATTTACCGTGCTTTGCATTTGTTCCATAAATAATAGAGATCTATTACATACAAATAAATTTTATCACACTTAAATAAAATTATTAGTAAGAAATCAAACGTTCTAAAGAGGCACGAAGACGACAACTGACACAATAATTTTTGATCACACTATAGTTCGAATTCTTTGTTTCTTACACAGTGTTTGGTGTCGTAACCTTTCGGTATAAATATTTTTACTGAGATATATACACACATGCTGTACTTATATATCTAATATCTTATATATATATATATATGACAAAAGTGTTTTCCTTGATAAAGCATGAGTATCGATAAAAAGAGCTATAAAAGTATAATAATACACAATACATCGATAATATCGCGATACATCGATTTCCGTGCAAAATAGAAATATCGTTTGCGAGATTGCGAATGCAACGTGCGGGCGTGTTGCACTATGTTATGCCATATTACACAGATCATTATGCAACGCGCGCGCATTGACGCAATTCAGATCTGATCGCAGGCACGAGAATCGATCCATGGGAAATCTTGAATTACACGTTTTATATATCTCGTTTGCGTCGACGCCGCCGCCGCCGCTATTGAGTAGTTGAATTGAAAGGGCCGTCGTGACTGCGATTACGTTAATTTCTTCGCTTATGATAATGGCACAGGGCGGCCTTGTGCTCGTAAATTTTCGTTTCATAACCGGAGGAATTACATATTGACACGCTCGGCGAGGCCGGCCGTACCGCGAAACTAAATAGATCTACATTTTGTTGCGTTGGCGCCGTGTTTAAACTATGCACGAGGTATCTGATAATCCAAGACATGACGTAGAAAAAGTTTAAATTTTGACAGTTTTTTATAGAGAAGATAATAATAGTAATTTTTATTCTTAAAAATAATTCTTTTGTATCGAAAAATTGTTCATTTTGAATTGTTTAAAATTTACTTGGCGTTGCAATTTTCGTCTCAATTTTAAAAAATTATTTTCTTCCGCAGAATCGATTAATTTTAATTTTCTTTATATAATCTTAATATATCTTACACAAAAATTAGATCTAGATGTATTTTTAAATATCATGTATATTAAAAATTAGCTATGATTATATAAGAACGTTTTTCGACCATATTTTATATACGTTGACGTTTGAAAAGCTATTCGGGAAATACAATTTTATTCGATAGCTATGAGCGAGGGTGATGAATGTTTACGATTCTCTATGGGGTGTGACAGAACAGCGTGACTCAGCGGCTACGGGGATGACGTAAGAAAATGGGGATTTTTCACGATCTCCCAGAAAAGGAAATGAGGAGGGAAAGGCATAAGTGTGATGTCTTTAATTCTTCTATTTCTAGAATTCTATTTATATATAAGCATTAGGGACCGGAAACACGCCCTCGAAATTTAGCACCGTCGCAACGTCTGAACGAAACGGTATATAATTATTCTTAATTTAAAACAGATGCATTGTTTACGAAAATATTTATTTTATAAAAACCTGTCCATTTATATAAGAAAAAATTGTATTTGCTTAAAATGTTGATTGAATTAATAAAATTTAATAAAATTGGAATTTTTTCATAAATTTCAATGTAATGTGTCATAAAAGTTAATCGGAAAGATATTTGGATAAAGATAATTTTTAGAAAAAATTGTCTGCAATGAAATTTCGTTGGCAATGCTAATCATGCGATGGATCAAACAGAGTTGTAAATTGGAAGCAAATTACGCGCGAGGGATGTGAGTTTGCTCTCCGCGATTCTCGGACACAAAATCACGGAGACGAGGTGATTGTACAGCGTTTTTCCACCTACGAGCGGTAAAAGTACGGTCCGTTATAGATCGTGACGGGACGTCGTCTGTCGTGACTGTCGTGCTTATGCAACTCTCGGATTTGCAGATTCTGATTTAAGCCGTCGCGTGTACCGGAATGTCCATTATAATACTCTACACGTCAACTTCCATTCATGCGCCCCCCTTCTCCCAGATCTGTCCCATCATCCACATGGTGGACCATCGTCCCGCTTTGTTCGGCGTTTGTTCGATGGTCCCTGTCAGAATCGACGAGAGCGGCGAGACGCATTTTTATCAAAGATATCTCTATCATAGTAATTTAGTTTCTCTGATCATTTCTATTGTAATGAAACAATTTAACAATTTAATATATTAAAAAAGAGAAACAGAGAATCATCTTCTCGAACCGATTATATCAGAAAAAAAGATTTCTGATATAAAATGCAAATTACAGATTTTATTTTTAACTTTCTCTCTGTTAATTTTTTATACAAAATTACGTGAATTATTATGACGAAAATAAAAGAATGATAGAAATGTGATAATAATGCACAGATTGCGATTAATAAAAATCATTAAATAATTGTCAAATTACCATAAAAAATAGAAATTTTTATAAACTATTTTCTATAAACTTGTTAATTGATCTTACATGACCCGTTGGTAAAGTTGCTTTGTGTATCACAGTGTATATACTTCAGACTCCATCTGTTGCTTAAAAGAGGAAATAATGTATCTTATGTGTGATAATGAAATGTATATTATATATAGACAATGACAATAACAAATTAGTATTGTCATGTTAATTATCATCTACATTAATATTGAATAATATGGGCGATATAAATTAAAAAGAAACTTATGTACAATCGATACTTAAAGAATTAAATTATAATTTTTATTTATTTATTTCTAATTAACTTTTTTCTTTGTCACATTTATAAGAGAAATTGAATTCGATATAAAATCCTCGTTTAAAAGTATTTAACAGTCTTTAATTATATTTAATTTAATTAGTTTTTTTTTATGCAGAAAGTTTGACTTTTTTTTTTTAATGGTTTGTCTCTTTGATATTGTAATTAGCTGCATTTTATATCGTATTACTATTTAATGAGACTATTTAATTTTATTTCTCATCGGGATTGCGTCGCTCCTGCGAGCCATTCACTTTCGTTTTCCGGGGTGGTTGTACCCCGATGTATCGAGAGATTGCGGGAGACCGCAAAGGGGTTGAAACCCTCGAGTGCGCAGCCGCGTTGACCGCTGTCCACTTCTCTTAGAATACTCCTCGGATTATTCTTCACCTGCTTATAGCGCTCAAGTATAGCGTCCGAGTACTACGAATACTACTCTACTCTCGTAAAGTGAGGGCGACGCGCGTGCCACTAATCGGGAAATAAGGATCTCGCTTCCAGTATTTCGCGACCAACCGGCAAAATAAGGGGCTCCAGGGTGGCGAACGGCGAGCCGAGTGAGTATCATTCTCGGAAACGATCGCGAGCGTGTCTTTTCGATCTTGAGGAATTTTTAGAGGATCCAAAAGAGAGATTCTTCTATTGTCATTTATCTTAATAAATTATCTTTGGAAAAAGAGCACGGGGAGGGGGAAAGGAGAGGGAGAGGGGAAGACAAAGTGTCCGCCTCGATTCCGAATGCTCGTAATGTTTTCCTATCGTAATGCGACGACTGTGATTAAGAACGCAGCATATGGGATAGAATTGTGGGAATAATTAATGACGTAAGGAGGGTAATTCGATCGGCCGAGCTCCACTTTGAGTCTTTGTTGGACGCATAGTAGTGCGTCGTATAATAGAAGCATATATTATTAATCGTATACGATAGTTACGGGGAAGTTTTGCGTTAGCTAACGCGCGATAGGAAAAAAAAAAGGGAATATACGATCGGACCTCGATAGACGAAACTTTTCGCGAGTCGATAATCGCGCGATACGTCGTAAAGCGTGAAGCGTTTATGGGAGTAGATACGATCTACATTTTTCTGCAAGAAGTAGGACAAAGTCTGCCACGTCGCGTAATTTTTTTCATTCCAAGTCGATTTCTTCTTCTCCGAAACCTCTCTGCTTCTAATGTGACTTTTTAGCCTAGGAAAGTGTATAAATTTTAATAAATTTATTTATATTAAATTTTACTAATTTAATTAAGTAATAAATTTTACTGCACATATTTATCTTCGTAATATATAGTTTTTTGTTTTGTTTTGAAGAGAGAAAAGATATGAAAAATAGCTCGTTTCTTTTTCTCTTTCTTACAGTTTTACTTTATAAAGAATTAAATATGGCATTCTTGCGTAGTCGATATTTTAATTTATCTAATTTATGACACACACACTGACGCGTCATCCTCACAAAGGACGATGTCTTGACGTCGTTGGTTCGTAGAAAAAAATAATAATCCGTGACCTCGCAACATAGTTTCGCTATAGAATCCGGCCGGGTGCAACAGTTTAAAGTCAAGGCGAGGAGAATAAAGCATAGTCCGGTAGCATCTTGAATCGATATTACGCGATTACGGAAAGGGATATCGCAATCGTAAATATATCGCCCCTCGAGTTTTCCATGGCATTTGGAATCCGCGGTCGCGCACATTCCTGATCGCCCGCTCTCCTCCCCCTCTTCCTCTTTTTTTTTTTTTCTCTCTCGACAAGGGCGATTCTGCCGTGCTGCAGTCAGCCGTGGTAACGCGCGATTTATTATTTAACGGGAATAATCGATGGCTTATGGATACGTGTACCAGTCGCGATAGTACATCCTCCGCGACAGCCGTCATTTTCGCGATGGTGCCGCGCCAGGAGGCAGGAGAGGCCGCCGCGCGTCGCGGCTCGTGAAGTCCCTTCTCTCTTTCGGTGCGAGTGAAAAAAAAAAAAAAGGAGCGGACTATATACATATACATAGCAGAGTTCTCGGGAACTATGCTGGCGAGATTCAGGAACAGCTTCCGCTGCAGCGTGCCCAAATGTCCGGCTATCCGTATTCCAGGGATGGAGAAGCCGGAGTCCTCCGCGGGGGGCGAGAGCGCCGCCGAGCTCGAGGACCGGGATCCCAATAGTTTGAATCAGCATCTTCAGGTAAGGGTGTCGCTTTCTCCGGAAGGTGTATGTGATTCTCGTGTTTATTATAAAATATTTAATTGCGGTGATGAAGAAATACGGTGATATAATTTATATATTTTTTCTCGACCAATCAACGAAAGTGAACGGTGAGTATTTTTTAAATTCGAAGCTTTCCTTCTTTTTTTCTATAAAACACGCATCAGAGAGTGCAATCTGTGCATTGCGAATTAAAAGTGTACTATGTAATTTAAGCGATGATGCAATTATAAATTCTATGATGAAATGTCATCTTTATTACATAACAGGGTGTCTACTCCCTGGAAAATCATAGAAAATCTGGAATTTGCAGGCAATTTTTTTGTACCTGGAGAAATCAGGGAATTCTCATGGAATTTTATTGGGACCTGAACAATTTTTTAAAAAATTCTCTTTGATAATTTTATTCTTATACTGTCAGCATAAATATTGAATATGCAATATATATTTTTTATTTTAATTTTTAGTAATAAAAAATGAAAATGTTATGTAAGTTAAAAAATTTTATTTTAACGAGAGTTATTCAATTTTTTTTTTTTTAATACATTTGTAAATTTAGTACTTGAAACTTAAATAGCTTTGTGTTTTTTCTTCGTGTAAATGAAAAGCATTAGAAAACGAGTACAATAAAAAAAACTTATTTTAAGAAATAGCACCAAAAAATAATTTTTAAAATATTGTCTTTACCTAAAATTTTGAAGAAAAATATCTGGAAGATCAGGGAATTTTCAGGGAATTTTTTTTACAAGATTTGAGTAGATACCCTGTATAATTTTAATCGTTAAATTTGTAATTAGTATCATGCGAGTTGTCGCTAATGGATTCCTTATTATTTCGAATGCACAGAGAAAGCGAAATAATACGCGAACTCTTTTACATTTTTAAATTATCAGATACGTTGACATTGAGGGTGAGAAAGTATTAAAAGCCGTAACCCACATTTTCTCGAAAAGTAGTAATTGAAGATCGATGGTCGCCGACGTAGATTAATGGGGCCTTAGATTGAGTCATGCTACTTTTTTACTCACAGCTTTACTTTGCGACGAAGTAATGACGTCTATTTATATTCTCTTGGCCGTATGATTGTTTGCTCCCGTCAAATTCGCGCGTACGGTTTAATATTGTATTATTTAATATCATATGTATACACACAGAAAAATATTATTCTATTGATAAGTAAAATGATTACTCAGTTTACTTTACTTCTTTTAAGTAAGAGTTATCTTTAACAAAGAATATTTTCTTAATAATAGTCTTAAAATAGACTTGTCACAAATTTTAGAAATACTCATTATCATGTACTCAAAAAAGTAAATATTTTCTTTTGAAGAATATTATAAAATTATATCGAAGAAAAGTCAGATATGGTTAATTTAATGTAAGAAAATTTATTAGATCAGAAAAATTTAATGTATTTCTTTCAATTATATAATTTAATATTCTTGATTGAAATATTAAATTTATTAAGATTCAGAATATATTTTGAATAAATTTGATGCTTATGATGAACTTATGAAATACTTGAAACAAGTAATATTTACTTGTATATATTATGTATTTTTCTGTGTGTACGGTTTAATATTTAACGCGACGTGATTAATCGATATTACGCAATTACGCGATTTACATATCGCGTACGCAGGTAATGTGGGACGATGTGATCGGCGAACCGGAAGGGATCCGTAGTCCCGAGTGCGCCTGGCGTCTTAGCGGACATTGTTTCCGACTCTCCAGAGGATGTTGTTACGTGCTCCTCTCCGTTCTCGTGGCGCCTATACTCGCTCTCTGTTTGGGCTTCACGTTCGCCTGCTTAGCATTTCAGGTGAGAGTCGATAACCTCCTGCGAGTCGCGTGCGCCCGTTTTCTTTGAGTCGATCGATATCAAATATCCTACACGTGTATCGCGATATATCTTTAATTATCGTGCATAGAATATGTTTCGAGCTTTGCTAGGACAAAAGATTGGATCGAGTTTGCAAAATTAATTTCGAGGTTGCAACATTTATACTTTGTATTTAATATTTATTTAGTATAAATGATTATATCATATCTATATTGCATTTAATATTATCTATTTTATATAAATATATCCGTAGAATAAATAAATTTTTAATATCTCAAATTTTTTTTATAATGACTTTAAAAAATGAAATATTTTTTATTTAAATAACTGTTTAATTTTTATATTTATTTTCAATTTATAATAATTTCTATAATAATGTCATCTATAATATTCATCACTTTTTTTTTCTTTTTTATACCGTTATGCCTATTTATTATCTTAAAACAGAATATAGAAGAAAATTGTCTAATTTATAATTATTACAAATACGTCCCAACAATCGCGTTTAGATTTTCATACCCGCTTATCTATTATCGGATAATTTTCTTCTGCATTCTTTTACCTTGATTGTTCCTTGCAGCATATATGGTGCGTCGCGCCGTGTCTGCGCGTGTGGAAAATTACGTGCGCGGCGATGCGAAATTTCTTGGCGGCGGTGACACATGCTATCGTCCGTCCTGTCATGGAGTCGATGGGTTACCTCTGCCACAATATCCGCGTATTCAATCAAAGACTGCCGGACGGTCCTTACCAGAAGGAAGACCTGTTGGTTGTATAAATCGATGATCCCGCAGCGGCGGATGAAATTTATGTATCGTTATCAGAATTTCGCATCTTTTCGAACACGTGACACGAATACCAGCGAATGTCAGTGACGCGAATCATTAATAGTATTATAGTATGTATCTAGGTAGAGAGTTATGTATATTCTCTCTCTTTCTCTTTCGCGAGAGAGGAGATATCTGATTCTAGATTCTAGATAAAGATACTTACGACACGATACGAATACAGAGTTGTAATTAAAAAAAAAAAAAAATGATAATTTATATATTAAATTTTAATGTATGTCAGAATATTAATGATAACGTCGAATCCATATCGCACATAATTGGGGAGATTTATTTTTATAGTCTATACTTGACTCGTGCAACAATAGCGCCAAGGAATTCCGTTGAATTATATATAATAATTGTATGCGGCAAGAACTCTACTGTGTTAAGTATATTGTATTAGTAAGTATAAAGGTCTCCCTTGGGTGTGCGCTTTGACCTTGCAAGAGTATAATAATTTTAACCCTGGCACGTCAGGGTAGTTGCAGATCGAGAGTTGAGAAGTTCGTGGGGCAAACTAGGTAATATTTTACTACGCGCCAATTTTTTTCTTGTCTATCTTTGGTGAGATTTCTTGAGTCTAAAATGTGCCTTGTTATATATATTATTATTGGATACGAATAATTATTTAATAGAGAAGTAATCTGAAAATGCGAGAATCCGTTCCGAAAAGTCAACCGAAAATTCTAATTAACTTCAGTGTGATATAAATTATCAACAAGAAGATACATGCAAAGAATTATATATAAAATTAATAATAATGATATATATAAATATATATATGATAAAGTACATGTATTATTACGTTAAAAGCAGAAAAAAGTTAGACTGAAACAAAATCCGTCCACTTAAATTATTGTGTAATTAATATTAGTGCAATTTAATTGAAGCGATACAACACAAATTTATATATACTTTCACTATAATATTTTTATGATAAACTTGTCATTATTATCATTTGAATTATTATTCTTCATGAATTTTATTTATTATAGGTATCGATATATATAGAAAGTTTTTGTATATAAATTTTCTGCAAGAAAACTTTTGGAAATAAAACATAGAACCTACACAAAGCACTTTGCAATTTTGAATTATGAAAATTTGTAGTTTGGACTTTAATCTTAAAAATCGTTAAAATTCAAACATCTGCTAAAATAAACTTTTGGTAAAAATTATATGTAATAAAAAATGCGAATTAACAGCCGTTCAAACTTGCCTCCAAGTTTCGAGCAAGCCAATCAGAAGCTCAGTCAATTACTACGTAAAATGTCACGCTCATAACGCTTTCAGCAACAGCTGACACATTGTCGACTGCCGAGTAGTTAAGCGATGTTTACCTAAAACGTCCAATGAATATTTAAAGCGTATGTTGAAATATTTATAAAATACTTGTCAATTTTTTTAATCGCTCGTTGCGAATACGTCTTTAGACATATCTGATAAGGCGACTTTTTGAGATCAACAAATCAGTGTTTTATCAGTCGTTGTTCAACATGGCGAGTAATATACACAGATTATTATGGAGAGTTGGACATTTGTGTCATGTTACTCCCACAAGGCGTATCCTTTGGAAATTTATCGAAGATTAGCTAATTAGCTAATTAAATTGGTTTGTTAATTAAATCACATGTGATCAAGTATTTACTCGTTACATTGTCCTTAAATCCTGATCAGAGATCTCTGTTTCTGCGTCACTTCAAGGAAAACGTAAGTTATATAATTTATTTTAGATTAATTTATATATTTTTTAAATGTAAAGGTAGATATAAAAGAAGTGCACACACAAATATAGCTTTTGTTAATCGTGAGATGTGATTTGTACTGATGGCCTATAGCAGTGATAAAATATAGAGAGCAGCACAATAAAGGCACTTCTCGGCCGGTAGCTTGTTTGGCTCAGTCGATTTTGCTATCTCATCTTTACTGATAACTGATAAAATATTCCAACAACTTATTATAATACACACTGTATTATTACATTATTATGATTTTACAACATATGTTTATTGAAATTTTTAATTGTGGAATTTAAATTATTTTGTTATATAAATTAATTATTTTTAAGTTAACTTGTAATTTTTTTTTAATTAACTTTTTAATTTATTTTCATTGAAAAAAAAAAATTGTATCTCCCAGCCATTTTTAATTGGGAGGATCCGTTTGGTCTGGAGTCACAGTTGACGCAGGATGAGATCCTGATGAGGGATCAGTTTCGTTCTTACTGTCAGGAGCGTTTGTTGCCTCGCGTAATCGATGCCAATCGCAGGGAGCAGTTTGACCGGGAGATTATAAGGGAGATGGGCCAGCTAGGGGTGTTGGGCTGCACCATGAAGGGTTACGGTGCTGCCGGGGTATCCTCGGTGGCATACGGGCTCCTCGCCAAGGAGATCGAGAGCGTCGATAGCGGGTATCGATCCGCGTTATCGGTACAGTCCTCTCTCGCGAGCGGTGCTATTTATATGTACGGCAGCGATTCTCAGAAGGAGCGATTTTTGCCTAAACTGGGTATGTGCAAATGGTTTTTTAAATAAAATTATATTTATAGAATTTAATTTCTACACTTTGGGACAATAGTAAGTATCATTTCCAAAATGAAAAACGAGACATAGAAATAAAAAAAAATTATAACTTACTGAATTAAATTAATTGATCAATAATATAATTAAATATAATTAAATTGATCAATATAATTAAATTTAACACTTAAAGACTATATGTATATTAAAATTAATTAATAAAATTTCATTTTTCTTTAAAAAATTAATTAAATACATAATAATTTTCGTCGGAAATATGGGTGATAATTTTTAAGATATATTTTAGTTTCCGGCGAAATAATCGGCTGTTTCGGTTTGACGGAACCTAATCATGGTAGCGACGTAGCATCCATGGAAACCAGGGCGACTTACGATTCCGATAAAAAAATTTACAAACTTAACGGCAGCAAAACATGGTTGGTTTTAGAAAATACTTTCTATCTACATGCTCGCTTAAAAACTCTCTTGCAATCAGAAGAATCTGACAATATTTAATTTAGGATTACGAACGCGCCCATCGCTGATATATTAATAATATGGGCGAAATGCGACGACAATCAGATTCGCGGATTTATTGTTGATAGAGAGACCGCGGGAGATCGATTATCTACCCCAAAAATTCAAGGGAAGTTTTCTCTAAGAACGTCCATCACTGGAATGATCCTGATGGACAATGTAATTGTACCCGAGGAAAATATGCTGAATGTTCAAGGACTTAAAGTACGTCAAATATTTTTTAGCAAACTAGGGATTTATATGCATATTAATATTTTTTTGTTGTTATTTATTTCAATTAATTATTTATTTTATAATTCGTTAATTGTCATCATTAGTGGCTAAAATATCTAAATAACGGTAAAAAAAATATATAGAATATATATGGCTAAAATGTAAAGGGATTAGAATATTTAGTAAATATGTGCACCTTCATACAATATGTCAAACTTAAAAAATTTCAGACTGATATACGTGATCGAAACTATATAATTATGAGAATTTTTTTTGCGCTATAAAATCTAGGTAACATGGGATGATAAATATTCTCAAGTTTTGCGTGGATAGTTGCAAAAATCTATGTGAGATCCTACCATTATAGATCTCGTATTTTTATCAATTTTTATTTATCAAAAATATTGCTGGAAAACAATAAAACTTTTATCTATTAATAATTTTTTACAATAAACAATTTTAGCGACGGGTTAAAATCGTTTAAAAATTACTCAGAGTGTGTCATAACGTTGACAATGTATTATATATCAGTCGGAAATCTTGTGTGTGTGTGTGTGTGTGTGTGTGAATCTGACTGTTTAAATGTAAATATTTACCTAACATAATAATGACTCGACTAGGGACCATTCGGTTGTTTAAACAATGCTCGATACGGCATCGCTTGGGGTGCGTTGGGTGCGGCGGAGACTTGCTTCAAGATAGCTCGATCTTATACTCTGGAGAGGCGACAATTCAACAAGCCTCTGGCAGCGAATCAACTTGTGCAAAAGAAATTGTCTGACATGATGTGTGACATCGCGATTGGTCTTCAAGCTTGCTTGCAAGTTGGTAGATTGAAGGACGAGAACAGGTAAAACTCCTTGAAATCGGATAGACTTTAAAGAGTTTAAAGAGGCAAAATTTATATGAATTTAGTCTTAGGATAATAATATTCTATATAATAAAAGGATTTTCAATTATTCAATATGGTAGTGGCAATTAGAATATTATATTTATAATGTAATTAAACGAGTATATGTATATTAATGTGAAATTATTATTTTATAATATTCTTTTTGAGAGAGAAAGATATATAAATATGTAATATACAACGCGCGAAAAATAATCGCGCGCGAAAAATGATTCTGTGTTTCGTAGAGCTGCTCCGGAAATGATTTCTGTCATAAAGAGAAACTCGGCTGGCAAAGCGTTGGAGATTGCGCGAACCGCGAGAGATATGCTCGGCGGAAATGGGATTTCGGACGAGTATCATGTCATCAGACACGTGATGAATCTGGAAACCGTAAACACCTACGAAGGTACGCGAGAAGATTATGTCAAAATAACGCGGGTATTTAATGCAATCAATAATGATGGTGACGTGTCATTCGAATCTATTCTTTTTTTTCTTTCACAGGCACAAACGATATTCACGCGTTAATTCTGGGGAGAGCAATTACCGGCATTGCTGCATTCTAATTAATTCTTTTAACAGATGTCAAGACTGTCTTTGTACGATATGTATATTATGTATCAAAAATTTTTATTTTTGTAAATGCGTGTTTAAAATAATATACTGTCAACTTTTATCTCTGTAAAATTGCCAATTATCTCTATAATAATATTTTTTACATTTTAATATATGTATATGTATTAATATTGTAAATAACTGAAAATATCTTATCTTTTTTTTTTGCTAGAGATTTAAGTTGTAACAAATCATGTTACACA